ATTCCATAAAAAAAATGGCCAGGGTTACCACTGCGTTGCCTGGAAAATGTATTGTTAGCAAGAAATGCATTATGAATGTTAAGACATGTGCAACATTTGGATATCTTTATTGTAGACGTTTCGCCATCCAGTGGCTTTATCAATACAGATTCTAGGACATAATTAGAAGACAGTAGAACTATATACATGTGTCTTAACATTCATATTGTCGGTATTTTATACCTTTCTTGCACAACTTGTCAGATACTGCAGCATCATGGAATCTTGGTTCAGAGGACATCTACAAGACCTTCTTCACGGCTGCTGCAACTAACCCATCCCTTTGGGTAGGACCTACTTTCACTGGGGAATCCCGCCTACCAGTGACTATGCCCTCGTCTGCTGCCCGTCCTTATCCACTGACGCCTATATAACCGCCAGTCTTCTTGCCTTTGCTCCAGATTCTCCTCCACCACGATGCTGTGAACACTAACTCCAAGGCTGAGGGACTGATTACCTCATTTTTTGTATATAGTTCTACTGTCTTCTATTATGCCCTAGAATCTGTATTGATAAAACCACTGGATGGCGAAACGTCTACAATAAAGATATCCAGATGTTGCACATGTATCTTAACATTCATATTGTCGGTATTTTATACCTTTCTTGCACGAGAAATACCTTGACCATAACACAGTGTAAATACATATTTTGATTGTATTGGGTTACCTAGATTCAAGTTCACCAAGAAATAGTTTCTTTGACCTTAACTCTGGTAAAGAATTAAGGTCACAACTGAAATTTCCATCTTGTCAGGTTGAAGTTATCCAACTGTTGGAGTCACGAGTTATTACCTTCAAGTACAGCTCTGTCTTTTATAACCGAGCGCTAAACTCGTAAGGGTCATACAGCTCTTTTTGTCTTCCATTAACCTCCTCCAAAGGCTATCGTTTTTAAATTCTGAACTCCTCGACCGGTCAGCTTTAACCATGGTGAACTATAACCAGGACAAGGTTCATGGAACAATGGGCATGTGCAGGAGCCCCTCAGCTCAATTTTACACGTGCTATTCCCGATTTTGGTTTCCATGCGATTACCTCAGAGAGCCTCTTCAAACGTTAAAGACCGGTGTATCCTACTTGGAAGAATGTTGACAATGTCAGCGGAGTGTGTAGCAGCCATTTTGCCAGTTTTAATTACGAAATGGAACAGCAGTATTTTCCATTAAACATCTGGAGAATGTTTCTTATGAATGGCTTCGGTCTTTAAAGGTTGATTTATGTAATGAAATAGACGACATTACTTTTTTAGGGGGGGGGGGGGTAGGCTTTGTAGGCGCAAATGCCTTAATTTTCTAAACAAGTTAATAAGCTTAATATTATTGTTCTGTGTAGTAGTTGAACACAGATGTAGGTCAGCTTTAAGCTTTTAATGCTGATGTTTTTCTCAATGGAAGCTTCGTCTTTATGTCATTAAACAAATTGTGTTCAATGAAATAACTGGAGAATATCCCACCTGATCAGAGGTCAGTTTGACTACTGTGTTAGCTTAAATCTGATTAATGAAATTTTATGTACCCGTCATGTGTCCTCAAGGCTATTGTAACAAATTTGTATACTATGTACCCCAACCCGCTTCTCGGTTAATACACAAATAACTTAACTTTAACCCGCACACAGGAGAATAAAACTTATAACAACGTTTCGGTCCGACCACTGACTAGTGACAGTTTATATAACCTCTCGTGTGGAAGACATCTCATATAAATTAACAGTTACTCGAAATCCCCCCCTTCCCTCCACACCAGGAAACACCACTTCCTTACAAGGCTAGTCACTAACTACAGTGTCTTGGTAAAACAAGCAGGAGGGTTGCCCACACCTCTCCTCTCTCACCCGTAGCTCCATCTCTGGATGGAAATAAATGGCATAAAATACCGACACAATGGAGATATAAACACTTAAGCAGTATAATGTGATCCTTTGTTGACAACGTTTCTGTTTGTGATTTGATAAAGCCCACTGTGTGGGCGAAAAGTTGTCAACAAAGGATCACATTATACTTCTCAAGTTTTTATATTTCCAGCTTCATCTCTCACCCACTGCAACTCTCTAGTTAGGCGATAATCCACGTCTTGTGCCACTCAATATACACAGAACCACCGGCATTACTTGCAACAATATTGCAACTATTTCTCCACTTGTTTAAATAGGTATTCCCGACGATTAAGGATAGGTGACGATGGTTGAGCTAGTGAGTGGATCAGTCCCAGTATTATTATAAAAAAAATAATCTAATTCTAAAAAGCACATTACATATTTAATATGGGATTAGTTAACATTATTGACATGATTTATAGAACCCCGACCCCCGGTTATTCAGTGCATTTCATAGCTTCATTTTATATTTTTTTTTCCCGAGGGTCTAATACATAGTATCAACAAGAACTTAAATACAGATGCATCGATACCATGCCCAGCCCTTCTAGGGTAGGGTAGGTGCCTGAGCCCGAGCCTTTAGCTCATAAGACTGTCATTCCCATTTGCCCTCTTGGGGCGGGGATGGCAGACCAGAGAGGCCTAGCTTGTGGCTAGGCCTGGGGACAGTTGGTCCCAAAGATGAGGAGGTACCTGTGCCTCCTCCCATGGGAGACTTAGGTCTCAGACACTCCCTAAAGAGGGAGCCAAGGCCGGGCCACCACTTGGAAAAGGCCCGGGCCGGGAGAATACCGGCGAATCTTTAATAATAATAATAAATACAACCTGGAGTTACTGATAGAGTTTCGGGTAAACAGCCCCGCGGCCACCGGTCTTGACCCGGCCCCTGGTGGATAGCTACTGATCAAACAATAGGCTGTGTGCTGATTGATCACGCAAACAAATACGAGCCACCGGCATCAGAAGACTTTAGGTGCTTGTCCAGTGCCAGCTTGAAGATGCCGGAGTCTGTGCTAATCCCATATGTGTGCTGGAGGGAGTTGAACAGTCTCGTCCCTGACACTTATGATGTCTTTAAACGTCTAGTAACCCTGCTTTTATGGGGATGGTCATTCGTCTGCCAAGTCTTTTGTTTCGTAGTAGAGGATTCGTGTGCAAGTTCAGGTACTAGTCCCTCTAGATTTTCAGGGGTATATATCAGTTTCTCTCCTCTATGCTTCCAGGAATAGGTTTAGAAACCTCAAGCGTGAAAGTTACGATTAATCGTAAAACATCAACACGAATACATTTGCCCAGTTTTACAGGGTAGTGGCAATATTACTGAATACAATACAATATTAGTTGTTTGTGATTATTTCCCGAGACATGAAATATGAGCACACAAAGAAACTATACAGTTACCAGTGAACAGCTATGTTTGAAAGGATTCTGGCCTAGGCAAATTGGCAGGTTGAGTATGTTGCAGGACATAAGGAAAGATTATCTCTTTTAGAATCAGTTTTCAATATTTTTAGTAAACAATGAAGTTAATTTAGCTATGTTATACATCGGTTGGGTCTCTTCCTTTATGCTATCTTAAGATTAGTTGGGAAAGTTTCCGGTTCTAATGATTTGTTGAACATGGAATAGTAGATAACACAAACTGCTTTATTGTACATTAATGGTGATATATTAGCTTAGTTTCTCGTCTTCTTTTCCACGAAGTGACCTTAACAGGATAAGTTAGAGCTTGATACAGAGAGTTTGAGACATTTCCAGCAAGGGCATTGGAACTTGGAATTTTAATGACATAGTATCTCGGTTGTTCCAGGAGGCTGGATGTGATGTTCATTTGTTTTAGTTAGAACAATATTTTTGGTTTTAACCAGTGTTCGAGAGTCCAGGATACGGAAGCGATTTTTCCGTTTTTTTTAACATCCCCGTTCATTTCGTTAAACCTGTTAGTAACGAATGGCTGTTAATCTAGGTAAGTCACAGATGTCTGTTGTATCATATCTGAGTCAGTGTGGTTGAAAATGGGTAGGTGCGGGCGGGTGGGTGTGTTTTGGTGGGTGCGAGTGGGTGGGTGTGGGCGGGCGCGGGCGGGCGCATCCTGACCGAGTGTTGCGAGGGAGTGAGAATTTGGGACTAGTGACCTAGTTCCCGCGCACCCGGCCTTGAGGGGTTCCATGGATTACTAACTGCTGCTCCGCACTATATTGATCGCTCAGTGCCGCTTCCGTTTTCTGTGAGTGACGCAATCGAAGGGGAAATATGTGTATATATTTCTACTGTGTGTTGCTGTTGTTGCTGCTGCTGCTTTTGCTGTTGTTGGTGCTGCTAGTATTGTTGCTACTGTTGCTTTTATTGATGCTACTACTTCTGATGCTGCGTCTGCTGCTACTAGTATCATTATTATTAATAGAGGGGGAATGCTTAACCCGTCAGGGTCATAAAGGTCACGAGGATTGGGAGTCAGATTCGACGCAAAGAAGGACATGTGCATTTCTTAATATGCCCTTCCTAATAGGCATCTTCCTAAAGGTATAGTAACGTTGCAATTCATCTCTGTCAGCTGTCATCTGCTGTGACAGTCGTCCACCACGAAAATGCAGTCGACACTTACAGCATAAGTTGTCATCTTAGTACACAATAATATTTACACATCTTTTTTTTTCGTGGCATAGAAAAATCAGTGTACAAACAGTCTCTTAATTGCTCCTTTTATATATTAAGAAGCAAACACCCGTTTTCCTGATCGCTTACTGACATAACACTGGTTCCCGTCACAGCACTGAGTTCTCTTGTACACAAGTCCCGTTGAATATAACACCAGAGGAGAGATGGAACATAGTTTTACATGATGCGAACACCAGGACAAACGTTTGTTGTCGGGTTGGTAGTAGTCAGCTGTAGGGATAAGAGGTGCGCATGTGTGTGTCACTGCTGTAGCCCGTGGCAGGTACCATCCCTTTCATGCATTTAATATTATCTACCCCCTAACTCTCTCCCCTCCACACCACAAAGCATGAACCAATACCAGAAGAGATGTGGGTAATTCGTTAGTGCGCTGTAGGATGATGGAAATGGTATAGAAGTGAGGACGTTTGGTGGAGATGATGTGGATGGCGGGATATGGCACTGGTGGCACCCGTGTGGCCGCTGGCGCTGGCAGTGGCTCAGTCGAGGGTGAGTGAGCGTAGCGCCAAAGAGAAAATAACCCAGACGCAGTGGTTCCCGTGTTGCCGTGGCTGGGACTGAGGGCCACGTAGTGCCAGCGATGCCAAGAGCTTTCGTTGCCCTGAGCGCCAGTGTGGGGCGGGAGTACCGGGGGTGACCTACTGCCGCTGCTGCTGCTGCTGCTGCTTGTTCTGTTGTTTCGCATGATGAATGACCCATCACGGGCACCTCAGTACCAGATGGGTTGCTCAACAGCACAACAATGTGATGACGTGAAAAGAAAAGCCTGAAAAACCTAACGCGATTCCAAAGGACACACGAGAAGTGCATGAGAAGAGCCTAGGAGTGGTGTTAGAAGAGCATGGGAGTGGTGTTAGAGGACCCTGAGAGTGGTGTTAGAAGAACCTGAGAATGGTGTTAGAAGAAGCTGGCCGGTAGTAGTATGGTAAACAGTAGCGAGGGTGGAGTGAGGTGTCTGCAGCAGTCTCCACACCCACAACAAACACTGAGTCACCACAGCTGCGACTCCACCATCATCCATCACTCTCTGAGGGACACTGACGAGTCATAATGTTTTGCTACATAGTGAATGAGTGCTAGAAGGGAAATGTATTCAAAGGACTTCAAAAAGACACGTGATAATATCCGTCAACAAGAGACTAGATATAAAGTAAGGATCTAGAGAAAGATAAAATAAAGAGGGAAAGAGTGAGATAAACAGGAGAAAACCTACCTCGACTAGACTTGCCCAAGAGCTCGGGGGGTGGGTGGTCATTTTGACCACCACCTGGAGGGACCTCCACCTCAGAATGGGGGTGAACATGGGCAAGGGTGGAGGGGGAGGTGGTGCCCACGGTGGGAGTAGTGGAGGGGGAATCCTCGACGCCCTCCACCTCACCCAAGGCACCCTCCACATCGTCATGCTGGGCCTCGACTCGGCTGGCAAGTCGACAGCCCTCTACCGCCTTAAGTTCGACCAGTACCTCAACACCGTCCCCACCATCGGCTTCAACTGCGAGAAAGTCAAGGGCCTGTCCGGCAGGGCGAAGGTAAGCTGCAGTGTCGACTATCTACCCAGGGCTAGGAGTTTACTAACCCTTGGTAGTTTACTAACTTTTTTCTAGTGGGGGGTAGTCAAAAAAACCATACCCCGGCCGGGATTGAACCCGCGGTCAGAGAGTCTCAAAACTCCAGACCGTCGTCAAAACATTACAGAGGCACTTCATGGGCTCAAGGACTAAACCAGACAGCTCAGCACTTCACGATAAGTACTTCCAATAAATAGTAGTGAAGTAGTATTGCTGCATCCAGTAAACCATAAATAAAATTCTAGAACTATGCCATAAAATACCAATAGTTTTAAGTGAGATGAGGATTCGTTTTGCTGATACTTTATATCATATGAGTGGGAGCCCTCAAGCTCCTGATACTGGAATACTGTCTCTTCTAGGATAACAGAGGGGGGGGGGGGGGGTGCCTTGATGACTGGGTAGTTGTTTGACACTCACTCACTCATGTCTGGAAACATTTTTTGCTGAACAAAACTCCTCCATCACTTGAGCAGTAGTGTGTTCTCCGGTGTGCGATACTGCAGAGAGAGAGAGCACAGAATTGCTCACGCTTGAGCAGTAGCGTGGTGTTCTCTGATATGTGACACTGCAGAGAAAACACAGAAGCGCTCACACTTGAGTAGTACCGTGGTGTTCTTTGGTGTGTGAGGCTGCAGAGAGCACAGAAGTGTTCATTGATAAAGGCAACAAACAATGAGCACTGCTCGTGCCATGTTGGGTCTCGGCAACTAAAACTTATATTTTCTCTCAGACAAACAGTAAACGGAGTTTTTCCTCACTACTGATGCTGGAGTGCACTGACTCTGATCCAGTAGTTTTGGACCACTGATTCAAATCCAGTTTCTCTGATCCAATGGGTCTGATCCAGTGGCTCGAAACCGCTGAGTCTGATCCATTGACTTTGATCTCTCGCAGGGAAGCCCTGGCTGATAAGGTATAATTTCTGCCTCGCGATTAGCTGTTGCCTGAGATTTGAGCCTCAACTCCCCTCCCCCACCACACATACACACACAGGAGCTGTGAATAGATCCCTGCAACCACAAACAGGTAAACACACACACACACACACACACACACACACACACACACACACACACACACCACACACACACACACACACACACACACACAGGAGCTGTGAATAGATCCCTGCAACCACAAACAGGTAAACACACACACACACACACACACACACACACACACACACACATACACACACAGGAGCTGTGAATAGATCCCTGCAACCACAAACAGGTAAACACACACAACACACACACACACACACACACACACACACACACACACACACACACACGTTGTGGATAAAACCTCTTGACAGAAAATTTATTTTTTTTGTCTTCGTCACCTATTTGTCGCCTCTTCTATCAATTTGTTATTGATACTTGACTTTCTTGTATCTGCTTATTACTACTTACTACTTCGTCTTGCCCTGCCGGGAATTGAATCAGAGTCCCATCGGTTGTGAACCAAGTACTCTACAACCAATTTTCATGTCACTAAATTCTTAAGACGCTAACACAAACGGCTCACCATTACCTTCAGTATGGTTTAGTGTGTTGGGTTTGAAACCTATCGTCTGTGAGGGTCCCTGAGGTTGCATTTCATCTGTACACCACAATTCAGGGATACTCTAAGAGAGATTAAAGTATACTATACTCGCCTTTGGCAAGATAGTGATAGTATGAATGATGGTGAAACTGTTTCCTTTTCGGGTCACCCTGCCTCGGTGGGAGACGGCCAAATAGGCATATGGTGTGAGGAGCGTGAACCTACCTACTTGAATTTCACTTTCTGCCTTCGTTGAAGTTTTATGAATTTTCTCGAACGTATGAATGCAAGCAACAGAGGCTTTTGCAAGTTATCGGTCCTCTTCCCCCCAAAATTGGAATGGTTTCTACAACATTCGTTTAAGAGCACCTGCACATACCAAGAATTGCACGGGTCTTGGCCGAGTTTCCGTACATAAGTGCTGGAAAATTGAAGCCAATCGGATGAGGTCTCGTGTTACAAGCGAAATATAATCGAAAGTTTGGAAGAAAAAAAAAGTGTAGGCATTTATTTATGGGTATTTTTTTCAAGGAAAACTAATAAAATAATGGCAAGCACTACACAGGATATATGTGAAAGGCTCTTGACTCTAGGAACTGGATCTGCTCCTAGATAAATCTGCTTACTTTCCATTTCTTAAGCGCTGTCTGACTGGATATATCAAGGTCTCTTTTTCATGGAGTGGATACTGGGCACCGGCCAGTGGATGTTTAATTACTGAGCAGGTCTTAACGTAGCCTTGACCCTCCTCAAGTGATATTTTCCCGACGATACAAATGAACACCAAGACACAGGTGCACTATGACACAGGTGCACTATGACACAGGTACACTAAGACACAGGTACACCAAGACACAGGTACACCAAGACACAGGTACACCAAGACACAGGTACACCAAGACACAGGTACACCAAGACACAGGTACACCAAGACACAGGTACACCAAGACACAGGTACACCAAGACACAGGTACACCAAGACACAGGTACACCAAGACACAGGTACACCAAGACACAGGTACACCAAGACACAGGTACACCAAGACACAGGTACACCAAGACACAGGTACACCAAGACACAGGTACACCAAGACACAGGTACACCAGACACAGGTACCCAAGACACAGGTACACCAAGACACAGGTACTCCAAGACACAGTACACCAAGACACAGGTACACCAAGACACAGGTACACCAAGACACAGGTACACCAAGACACAGGTACACCAAGACACAGGTACACCAAGACACAGGTACAACTGAACCAACCTTTGCCAGACACTCTCATCGTTCAGTAACTAAATATTGTTCCCACAATGCAACTCTCATATGATACTGTAGCCGCTCACTGTGGGTGTAGCCAAGCTCGCTAAAAATAATGGCAGTGGTCAGCTTACGACTGTCAGACTCGAGAGTGGTTGTCATTTACTCCCGTTGAAAAATTCAACCCCCCAGTCTGGCTTACTGCATCATGATACCCAACTAGGCACCGTGTTCCTCTCACGATTAGTAGACGGGGGATCGAGCCTCCACCACTATTTACACTGAAGGTTCCGCAAGTCTTCAACGCTCCACATATATTTCTCTACACGTAGTCGTTTTTTACAGTGTTCTTAACAGCTGCTGTACCGCCTCAGCTGATTTGGAAGCCTAGAGGGGCGGGTTGAGACATATGGGCAAGCCGCTGTTCATCTAGCAATACGTCACTAAAGTTTTGGGGTTATCTTAGGTAATTTACACATGTTACTATGTATGATAATTTGTGTGACTGTATGTGTACCTGTACTTAAATAAACTTACTTATGTATCTGGGTGCTAGCCGACTGCTGTGGGTCTCATCCTGGGAAAGATCGCTCGAATCCAATTGAAATAAGCCACACTGCTTGGCTTTCTTGGATTCGCCTGGGTTAATAATTCGAGAAATTTTTCTTCAACTCCTGGATCAAGCTGTGCTGTTCCCCCCTTTTCCAGGATGCCATCCACATCAGTCTCCTAACACCGAGGTACCTATTTATTTCAAGAAGTTCATTCCCCCTATCATTGCTCTTAACCAATATATTATTTTGTAATAAGAACGGTAGAGTCTCAGGCATTCTAAATCATCAATGCTGTTTTTTTTACTAAGTTAGAATGTTGACACGGACGGAGGACCTTCAAGTACACGTAAGGAAAACAACAACAATAACCAAAGACAGTTTGCCCCTCCAACCAGACCAATAACACAGTAATTACTACTTGTAACCACCTGTTAAGTCTCAAGAATAAATGCTGGGGCAACAAGCTCATTCGAGTGGAAAAAGGTCGAGAGTAGAGCAGCGAAGGAGGAGAGGAGGGAGAAGAGGGATGGAGGAAGGGAGGGGGGAGGTAAGGAAAGAGAGGTATGAAATATTAGGATGTGAAGAGAGAGACAGAGAGAGACAGATGTAGAGAGGCTGAACGTTCCCTAACCCCTTCAGACACCATTGTTGATACTTCAGTCATCTTGCATCATTAGCAATTCATCAGTAGACTCAAGGGTGCAACCTGAAGTTAGTCTTTGGTGCTGGCAACTCCGGTTCATTAACATTCCCACCAACTTCCAGTCCTACTGGCACCACTGTTCCGAGTCTACGGCTCCTCTACATGTAACTTACGTTGCTAACAATCCTCTTTTAGCTACTGTACTAAAGACTTGCCCAGTCAATACTCCTGCAGTAGGGAGAGAGCCATAGAAAGGACTGACGAGAATGAGGTTGAAGACTAAGTACCTATTTGTAGACCACTCATCATCCCACACCCAGATCAAGGCCCAGACACTCCAAGTGCGTAATCTCCTGGATCAACAGCACCTAAAAATCTTGCTAATTAAGAACAGCTGCAAAACCCACAAGGATTTCAAGCGAATCAGCAGGAACACCGAGGCAGCGGTTTAGGTGCTGCCGAAGGAAGGAACACCTCTGCCAGCTGCTGAAGAGACAAAGTGGAACGACTACCACAGGGTTGATCACAAGAGGATACCAGTTACAGCAAAACATTAGCCGACAGGTAGGTACAGCGTTCAAAGACCTGATCTCCCATTTTACCAGCAGGATCCACCCAGATTTAGTTCACACGTTTTCACGTCCCCATCCACTTTCTATTATCCCAGCTTCGCTGGTGGTTTTCCGCCAATTACACACAAACCCATCTGTTTCAAGAGACCCCTAACACATTCGTCTGCCTAGTGACTAGTCAGTCCACTATCACACTATTTGTCAACATAAGATGTGCTGCTACCAGTGTTGGTGAGCTCACTTACATGTTCGTAAACACTCCATTGTATCAACGATTTTGGAGGTGACACACCCCGAATATACTTGAAGGGTGTTTCGGGGGTCACCGCCCCCGTGGCCCGATCCATAACCAGGAAAGTTAAATCTCCCTGAAACT